GTACAGGAACAACGGCATCGGAACTCTCCAGATCAAACAAATCAACAAACTGCTGCTATTCAGCAGGCTGTAATCGGTTAACAGCATTGGCGTAATCGATTACACCTGCTGTTTCAACAATTTTTATTTCATCAAACTGCACATCCCGGGTTATCATGATTTTCCGATTCCTCTCATCAAATAGCTTGTAACCTCCAGTAGAGTGATATCCAACAAATATCAATTTTTCACCTTTATCGTCCAACTTTTTTCTAAGTTGATTCGGTACATGACGATATGCAATCGATCAAAAAACGCGCAAGTGATTCACACTTGGTTTGAAACCACTCCAAACCTCTTCTGGTGTAATCTTCTTCAGATTCTTAGTAGGTTACCTATTCAACAAGTAGGTGGCTGTAGACACGGCCTCACCCCACAACTCTTTAGGTAACTTCTCCCCACAAAGAATACTACGCACCATGTTCATTATTGTATGATTTTTCCTCTCGGCAGCCCCGTTTTGTTGAGGCGTATATGGAGGCACCACCTCACGCACAATACCCTCAAGATCACAAAACTTCCCAAACTCACTAGAAATATATTCACCTCCACCATCTGTTTTGAGAATTTTGAGCTTTCGACCGCTTTGACGCTCCACCATGGATTTGAAACTCTTGAACACTCCGAATACCTCATCCTTTCTCTTGATAAGATATGTCCAAAGCTTCCTACTAAAATTGTCAATGAACGTAACAAAATATCGATTGCCGCCATAAGTCTCTATTTGCATCGGTCTACAAACATCTGAATACACCACCTCAAGTAAGCCTTTGGTTCTTCGACTCGCATCCTTGCTAAATACATTCTTGTGTTGCTTACTTGTCACACATTCCTCACATAATTCTGTCGGAACACTAATATCTGGCAACCCCGTTACCATTTCACTTTGTTGCAACATTTTGAGATCCCTAAAATTAAGGTGACCAAGACGGTAATGCCATAACCACTATTCTCTACTTGCCGTGGTAGCTAAACAATGATGCTCCATAACCTTTAACTCAACCTTAAAAGTTCTATTGGCAGCCATCAGCGCTTTTAGAATCAACACACCATTTGAATCTAAAACGTGTAACATCTTGTTCTCCAACCGAATTAAGTAACCACTTTCAAGTAATTGGCCAATACTTAAAAGATTACACTTAATTCTCGGTATGTACAAGACATCTTTGATCCTAGAATGTCCATCATTCTTCCTTTCGATCAAAACATCTCCTACCCATTCGACGCTTAAAGTGGTGTCGTCGGCAAACTTGACTTTGCTCTTTGTCGCTTGATTAATTTGCACAAACCAATCCTTTCGGCCCGTCATATGTGTTGAACAACCGGAATCCAAGTACCACTCATCTTTACTTTGAACTCCATCACGCATGGTAAGTAATGCATTTCGATCTAAGCGTATTTTCCCACCACTTTCCAAAACAGTACAGCTGCTGTCCCGCAAACTATCACCATAGTAGCTGCTACCCGGAGCATCAACAATGCCATAATTCTCCTCCGTAATCATCACAAGAAGGGTATCTTCATCATCTACCTCTTCCCTAGAAACCTTAGCCTCATCCGTATCTTTTTCTTTGTGTTTTGAGTGACATTCTTTCGCAAAATGCCCAAGCTTTTGACAATTATAACACTTCACAGAACTTTTGTCAAACGGTTTGTAGGCGCTTTGATTACCCTCTTTGGAGCTTCCTTCACCCTTCGAATTTTGTGGATCTTTTCCACCAAAATTCTTCTTACTCTTTGAAGACCACTTCCCTTTTGTTCTCTTGTTCTTCTCATGTAAACGCGCTTGCAAAGCGATCTCCGCTTTGGCTTTGTTGGCACTTCTCTCATCCATCCTTTGTTCATGCGCTTCTAACGAACTTTGCAACTCATCTTTGCCCAAAGTTGTTAGATCCTTTGACTCTTCAATAGCCACAACAATGTTATCGAACCGTGATGTTAACGAACGCAACACTTTTGATACAACATTCTGCTCAAGAATAGTTTTGCCACATGACTTGATTTGGTTGACTAACCGGGTAATGCGCGTAATGTAATCATTGATCGTTTCTTTGTTCTCCATTTGCGTTAGCTCGAATTGAAGTTTGTAAGTTTGTAACCTTACCACCTTTGCTTTGACGGCACCGGCATATGCTTTCTCCAAGATTTCCCATGCTTGCTTCGCGGATTCACAATCACCAACTTTCTCAAAATTGTCGTTATCAACACAAGAATGAATCAAGAATAGAGATTTGTAGTCCTTCTTCTTTTCTTCCTTGTACGTAGCCCTAAGAGCATCGGTAGCACCAGCCCCTAGCGGTGTAACTCCATTGATGACGATCTCAAGCACCTCTTGATAACCAAACAAAACTTTCATTTGTTTTGCCCATTTGTCATAGTTCTTCGAATTAAGAATTGGGAGATTTGTAGGAATACGATCATTGAAAACGGTAGCCATTGTTGTTGCAGCGGATTAGGATCAAGAACCAGGGCTCTTGACGCCAAATGTTAGAACAACATAAAATATAAAACCAGAATTTTGAAGGTAGTAACAATGGTGAAAAAAAACTTATAAAGAAGATGAATTGAGAGAAAGAGAGAATAGGGAAGAGAGTAATATTGGATGAATCACTAAATTGGCATTAACTATGAATTGGGATTACAACAATGTATATATACACATGAGAGAATAATACAACTAATACAAAATACAACTAAAGTGTCATGCTGTTAAATTATGTTATTTTGGAAAACTAACAGCTTTTCAAAACAGCTCACAACAATTGGGACTCCAATTGTCACTTCTTCTTCTTCTTTTCTTCCCATATTCAATTCATAATTCAAACTATCCAACCCTAATATATATTTTTCCATATGCTTTCACGATTGACCTAACCACTCCACTGCCTATGTGAAAATTTCTACAATATTTTGAATTTGTCATCAATATTGTCGTTACACTTTTACTATCTTTTTTCTAATCTATTTTTAGAATTTATAATAATTACTAATTAATGTTAATATTTTCTACAAACAAAATTATAAACTTTGATTAATCACAAAATATATTATATTAATAATTAAATTTTATCATTAATCACAAAATATAAATAAGCTAAGTGTGAAAATTTGGATGAACTTTGAAAATCAATTTTGAAAAACAATGTCATCAAAAAAGAAAGATATAAGTATCTAACATTGGTGAGAGAAGTATGACCGTAATGAATACATTTGGTCTGTTGGATGTGAATACCTTTGGATTTTTTATCAACGTGTTATGTTGTTTCTTTCAAACACTAGGACTCCGATCGTCACTTCTTCGTTTTTTTTCTTCCCATATTCAATTCACAATTCAAACTATTCAACCCTAATATATATTTTTCCTTGTACTTTCACGATTGACCTATTCACCGCCTATATGAAAAGTTCTGCAGCTATTTTCATTTTGTCATTAATATTGTCATTACATTTTTACTATCTTTTTTTATTATCTATTTTTATAATTTATAATTATTATTAATGCTGATATTTTTTCTGTAACAAATTTATAATAAATATCTTCATTATTTATTTTTTTTACTATTAATTGTTATAAAATTGTGTCAATCTCATTAATATTAATGTGATTTGTTGTTTTTCAATTCTTTTTTTCTTCATTTTTTAGTTTCTTTTTATTTGCTAATTTTTAATTTATTAATTCATATTTTATGTTGCTCATTCTTTCATCATTATTATTATTTTCTTTCTACAATCTCATTTTAATTACATATTAAATTATTATAAAAATGTATTTATACGTATAGATGTTCATGGGTACAGGCTAACATGTGTTCAACTCAACCTTTATATTTATCTGGACGGATCCAATCCGATCAAATTCATTGATATTTAGTTCGGATAACAGATTTGAAGTTTAAAATACGCGCGAACCCAACCTATTAATATATCACACTATTTTTGTTTTATTTTATTTATAAATTATCTAACATAATTCTTATAATGCATATATTTTTAAAATATATATAATTATATTTTTTTATTAATGGTAAAAATCTAAGTCTAAATTAAATTAGGAATAGTTTAAATTTTTGACTTTGAGAAAGAAATTAAGAATAGTTCAAATTAATTATGATTAGTTTGTATTTAGCAACTTAAATTATAATAAAGTATGTTGTGATATATTCTCAATTAGTTAGTCAGATAGTTTGTTATAGTTATTTGGGTTACAAGTAACCGACTTGTTTATTGTGTAGTTCAAACAATGATCCAATTCAATTAACTTTTCACTCTCTGTCTCTTTATCTCTTTCATTCCTTCTTCACCGAATGCATTGGCACTAAGAATTAACTTTTCACTCTCTCTCATTCCTTCCTCACCCAATGCATCGGCACTAACAAGGAGTAATTTCAAGTTTGAAATGTATCTCAGCCCCCATTGTCAATGCTTACATCTAACTAATTTTATCCAAGAGCATTGGCAACAAAGAGTAGGTTATTAACAAATTTCAGGTTTGAAATCTGTCTCAGCCCCACCCCATTGTCAATGTTTACATCCAACTAGTTTTACCCATCTAGTCTTCTCAGTTTTTTGCGTCTTGGACTGTTTGTGGAAACTTTGAATCACATTACACTTCATATTTACTTCATGAATCTTGGACAGTCCCATCTAACAGAATACATGAACAGTTGGAATCCCATCAAACTAGTTTTCTCATTCGGCAAGGAAAAGTTTCAACAAACGAAGTTCCTTGTAACGTAACCAACTCAACTGACTCCAATTTTTGTCATGGAACAAATAGTATAAAACTGGATGATATTAGCACTTTAATTTCATTAGTTTTCTAGTAAAAGTAATACAATCATGTTAGGCCTCAACAACTACAACACAAGCAAGAAATAAAAAGGGACATATAACACACCAACACAAGAACCAGCAGCATCCATAGCAAATGAGCTGTTGTATCAGCAGGCAGAACCCAATGATTACTTGTAGACACATGAATCAGTCAAATTTAGATGTTTTCCAAGTTTGTTTCCATGGATGGTGATTGAACATCTGATTCTCCGATAGAATGTAGACTTAACCAATCTTCCCAAAACATAAGCTCTTGATCTCACTACAAATGTTAGGTTCATTGGTAATGCAACACTGTTCATGTGTTCTGTGTTACTATTTCCAAGAACTGAGACCCCACCGTAGAGTGGAACTTGGTATGCAAACACCACCACAGCTATCATCCTATGACTCTTCCTTGATTGATAGAACTCATGCATCTATTACACCGAAATCAACCAAAATTGTTACTACATTAATTAAACATGTTAGCTAACTAGCTTTTATATATATATATATATATATATATATATATATATATATATATATATATATATATATATATATATAATATATATATATATATATATATATATATATATATATATATATATATATATATATATATATATATATATATATATATATATATATATATATATATATATATATATATATATTAGTTTCTCACTTGCTACTAATTCATTGTGCTGTGTAAAGTCAATAAAATATAGATTTAAGTCCCTCAAATATAAAATCAAGCACAATAAAGTATTAGAAATGATATTTTGACACTCATTTTTTACACTACACCATATTTCATTGTTCACCAATATATATATATATATATATATATATATATATATATATATATATATATATATATATATATATATATATATATATATATATATATATATATATATATATATTAGTTTTTCACTTGCTACTAATTCATTGTGCTGTGTAAAGTCAATAAAATATAGATTTAAGTCCCTCAAATATAAAATCAAGCACAATAAAGTATTAGAAATGATATTTTGACACTCATTTTTTACACTACACCATATTTCATTGTTCACCAATAAGGTGAACAGTGAAATATTATAAAATTAAATATATTTTTTTTTAAAATATAAAAAATTATTTTTTTTATTTTTAAATTAAATGATACTAATATGAAATTGTGTGATTAACCAACTTTATAACTCTATTAACCAACATTTTACATATTATTAACAAACTTTATTTACTGTTAAAAATTATTTTTAATTCTGAGTGATTATTAACCAATTTCATCACTTCATTAACAACTTTTTATACTTCATTAACCAACTTTATTTCATAATTTAAAAAACTATTCACGAATATTATTCATATACTGTTCACCGTATTGGTGAACAGTACATACGGTGTAGTGTAAAAGTGGGTGTCAAAATAACATTGCCAATAAAAAATAGATATTTTTTCTGTGAATTTTCTTTTCCCAATTTTGTACTTACATAAATTATTTTCTTAATAAATTAATTATTTTTTATTTAATAAATCAAATAAATGAATGCATTTAAAATTTATATACTTTTATATATAAAAGAATGTGTTTTAGTATAATATATTTTCTTCAAATTCTATCTTTTACTTAAACTTTTTTTACTATTAAATCTTTAATTACCAATTAATAATAACTTGTTTTTTTTAATAATCAGATAAGTGTGTTTTTGGATGCCATCAACTTGATCAAAATCAAGTTGAAAAACTACATCAACTCAAAAGCTTCAAATAGCTGCTTCATTATTTTCAGTTTTTTTCCCTCGGAATGTTTTTTAACAAGATTTACTAAATTTTATTAACAAGTAAACTTATCTCTCTAAGTAGGATTGACTATTGATTAACTTGCGCCATAATATTTTATCCGAAACTATATTTTTATTTGAATTGTTAATCACGAGATCTTTTTTAAGATAATTTTTTTAAATCTTCTTTTTATCTTTAACTATTTGTCTACTCCTCTTCTTCTTGACTCCTTTTTTGGATCTACTCTTTCCCATAAAATTTATAGGTCTTTCACTAGACATATGCAAATCTCCGAAGTCTATGCCAAACTAAATTTTAATAATTTTAATTTATTATTTTATATCAATTACTTATTTATAAAATAAAGATAAGAGACCATCTTATTAAAAAAACAACTTGTCATTAGAAAAATAGCTTTCCTATGGGTCTCATCTCATTCCTATGGGTTTCATGCTTAAGAAACTATACACATCCTGATCTTCCCCCTAAATGGGCTAGGTCGAGAAGTTCAACCCATAACCAAATACAATTCTGTCTTTATAATTATCCATTATACGTCTTGACATTACGCTTTAAGTCATTAAATAGCCTGTAAGGGTTGATTTTAGACAGTATAACACAGGACTTTAACTCCTTTTATTTAAGTTGATTATTAACCACGAAGTCGATTTATCTTCGTAGAAAAGTTTTCAAAAGATGATTTTTTTAACAAAGATACATAAATAGCTTATAAATACCAAGTTGCTAAAAATACATCAAACAATCTACATAAGCATCCTTTAAAATCTTTCCTCTTGTACACAACTATTTCCTCAAGTACATAAAAAGTACACTATACGATAGACCCCTTGTTTTTCTAAAAACTGTAATAATTCCAATGATGCAATAAAGCCTGTGTGAAATCACGTGAGAGGTACGGTATCTAATTGCCCATTACCATTAACCATTCAAATGGCAGATCATCAAAAGAATAATCAATCAATTTTTTATTCCATAAACAAAAAAGAAGTACTCACTTTATTAAATTTTGGGGGTCCCCTACCTACAAGTAGGTGCTTGAGCCCCAAGGCCTGTAAAGAGAACCAATTCATTTGAACTTTTTCAGCATATATGTTTATGTTCCCACACACTCTTTTTTTCTCATTGGTCTCCAATCCATGCACAAATTTGTCCCCACCCCATAGATTCTAACAAAGCAACCGTTGGAGACTCCAAAACTCTCAAATATGCCCTTTCCTAAACCAACCCTACTTTTTTTTTTCTGTATAAAATGAAATTCTTCTATTCACAATTACATAGACTAATGAGCACCATATTTGACTGATCCCCAACCCTAATGTCATAATGTAACACTTTTCTTTTTTCTAAAATTTAATTAAAAATAAAATAAGCTCTTTAGAAACTGAATTTTTGAAATTAATTTAAGCAAAATAAAGTATAGAGGAAGAAGGTGTACCTGACCAGAAGCCAGTGTGAGCTGGTAATAGCTAAGTTGCAGAGGAGTTGACGTGACATGAACACCAAAGAAAGTTGCAGGATTTTTGTATAAGATCTTAACCGTTGAATTCAATGACAACATATCCGTTGGTACTCCCGTTCCATCATTTCCAGATTGTACATTCAGATTCTCAAACACTATACTCTGTTCCATATAAAAAATTTATAAAAAAATATTAGAAGAATTAAAAAGGAAAAAAAAAACAGCTAGAGGGTATTTCTGGTATTTCATCACACAGTCACAGGCTTTTGATACTGAAAAGTGAAAAGCTAAAAGAAAAGAATCCAACGGCTGTGTTACGACGCATGCACACATAAGAATAATCATCGAATCAAATAAATTTAAATTAACCGAGTTACAAAAAGATCAACTCAGTACGAAAAGCACGAACCTTAACAACGATACGAGGCTTGTAGCTTTTACTAGCACCCCAAAGAATCAACGAAAACAGAGTAAAAAGCACCACGAAAAGGACGAAGAAGCAAAAATACAACCGAACATTACGAGTATTATCATAAACACCTTCATCATCTTCGTCTTCATCTAGGTCAAGATCGTCATGACTGTTCCTGTTATTCAGTTTCTTCCAAGAGGAAGCAGAAATATTGCGAGGGTTTTTCAGCGAAGCGGAGTAACGAGAGGTGGAAGATTCACGAGAGTGATGAATGGGAGAAGAGATATAGTAATGGAAATTTTGATGAGCTGGTGAACCTATAGGACTTGAACCGTAGGACATTTTCTCAACGTCGTGGTTTGAAGGACTCTGGACGTAGTAAAGTGGTCGCCGCGGAGGTGAACGCGGCGGAGAGGAGGAAGATTGTTCATTGCTGTTGGTGGTTTCTTCTGAGTCTGTTTTTCTGTGCATTCTTCCTCCTCTCATTTCTCTCTCTTTTTTTCTCACAAAATGGCAAAATAGAAACAACTGTACTGAGTTATTGCTGTGCTATTATTATACTATATGCTTCTTTTTATTTTGAGAAAAACTATGCTATTTTATAAATAAATTTGGACAGTAATTTTTTAAATAAATGGTTTTATACTGGATATAGAATAGAGGCGTGCATTGAACTGTTTTGTTTTTAAATTATAATGGGAAAGGAATTTTTTTCACGTTTGGTAGGTAATTTTTATTTTTATCTATTTATGTTATTTTCATGTTAAGATTGTCTGTAACGACAGTGACTTCATTTTTATTTAATAATAATTAAGAGGAAAGTGATAGAAAATGGTAGTTCTTTATTTGTATAAGTTGTTTTTTATTTGTATAAATCTTTTTCAATCATTTTTATAAGTATATGCTTATAAAAATATTTTAAGAATAAATGGGAAATGGTATAATAATGAGATAAGATTGAGTTCATGTTAAATAAATTACAGTTTAAATCTTTTTAAATTATTTTTGAAACATTAAACTCGTAATGCTATACTGTTAAAATGTAATACTAAAATGAGAAAAGGATTTATTGTATAAATGGAGAAAAGGCAATACAGTACGAGTGTTCTACATCAATAAAATTGACTAAAAGACACTCTAATTCTACGGGTGAATAAGAAGAAAGAGAGACGTAATGAATGTATGATAAAAATATTATATTATTGATGCATAACAACAATTCTCTTATATAATACTTTTAGCTAAATGGCATTTTTATTTACAAAAATATAGTATTTTCTTCGGTAATTTAAATATTTCAGGATGCTGTCTAATTGATTTTAATATTTGAGTATAAATAAATTAGTGGTAATATGTGTTGCATAGATATGGATATATATCTAATATCTAATTCAGATATTGGTATGGAGTAGGGGTGGACAACGGGTCGGGTTGGGCGGTTTCGGGTCCAAAAGTCACACCCAGCTCAACCCGCGGTTTAGATACGTAGGTCCATTTCCGCCCATTTCCGCAATCAGTTTGGACGGGTTGGGTAAGCACGGGTTGCGGGTTAATACACACGGTTTAATCGGGTTATTGGGTTGGTTTTTATAGAGTCCAATAACACATTTTGACCTACAATTTAATTCCAACTAAAATATAAATTATTAAATACTAAATTCCAACATAAATCCAATAAACTAAACATAATTCCAACACTAATACAAAATATAATCCAACATAACATGATTACAACAAATTACTAAAACTTGAATAATAATAACAGTGTTACAATTCTAGCATTAATATAAAATAAACTCAGTATAACATAGTCCAGCTTGAGATTGCAAAGGTGAATATTGGAGATGCCTGCAATAATATTCATAAAAGAAAGTAGATTATTCAATGGAGAGATTATTCAATGGAAAGTTTAAAGAATAAAAAGTTTGAAGAGAATACCGATTATGATAGAAACATACAGTTTTGTTACTTCGGTAAAAACTTAACGAGCCTTTGAACTCCATGCTGACATTTCTGCTAACTACATGAGATGAGTGATAGGAAGGGTTCTGAATTTCAGCAGTAATACGGTTTCTGTCCCAACCCAACCCAATTCGGTTTTTGTCCTTGTGTGGAAAGAAATCAAGAAATTCATCACACAATTCGGTTTCTGTCTGTTTGTTGCAAAGTTTGTTCCGTTGTAAACCACTCACAGTGGCATCCTTCAATACATACGCACAAAATATACAACACCATTAGCACCGCAGCAAGAGGACGAGACGTAAACTCAGGAGTATAACAGTATCACAACAACACACAAACACGCAAGACATACGGGAAACACAACAAAACCATACCTTCAGGTGACTCATTAGTTCAGTCTTGTTTCCTTGTTTTAAATTCAGTAGCGTAATGATCAATCTGACAGTAACTCCTTATAGTGCGAGCAGACACTCTGGTCCTGGATTTAATGAAAAATAAATATTAAACACGAGAAACTAGCCAAACTAACTTGTAGACTCATATGACAAGTCATACTAAAGGAATTAAATCAGAAACTAACAACATCTAGGTTACATAGCTGTGTCAATTCTATTTTAAATAGTGTATAGAAGCAAAAATAACAGCGGAACTTACAGGTCTCAAAGGCAAACCCTTGTCACTGAGGTTGCAATGAGGCAATCGCGCAGTCCTATTCTTTGGATGGTGAAATTTACAATTAGACTTGAACTTGCAATCCCCAGTTTTAAGAAGCTGCATTCAGGCTCACCAGGCCTTTCTGGAAACACTTCAAATGGCATATGCTTTTGATGAGGCACATACACATTTGTTTCAACTGTTGGGTTGTTCATGACATATGTAGAAGATGGATGCATGATCCTCTCAGATAAGTAGACAGGCGCCTTTACAATTAAAACCATAAACAGATTAATTTGATGGGAAACAACTTGTGAGAGTTTAGCTGGTAAAAATTTTTAACTCGCAGAACATCGATAAAAATAAATAAATAAATAAAGACTATTGTAAATCCCTTGTCATAGGGCTTTTGATATTGAATCTATGTATTTACCTGATATCCATTCCAATCAGGACTTTGAGGAGCAAGTCCTTGAGTAGGCGTAATCATCGGTGCTTTACATATGTATTGGCATTTCTATTATCATTGCCATTACATATATTGCAACGGAACATATATTGGCAATGATAACATATATAAGTGGCAATGATATATAATTAACATATATTTCTATTATCATTTCTTTTATCATTGACACTCACAGTGCAATATATATAGTTAACATATATTATCATACGGAACATATATATCATTGCCACTCACAGTGCTTTTATCATTGCCATTATATATATTATCAGTGGCATATCTATTATCATTGCCATTACATATATTATCATTGCTAGGAAAGTATGATAAAGCTTAACAGAAGTATGAAAAGATATTATCATTGAAGTATGAACAGAAGTATAAAGCTTAACAGAAGATATTATCATTGCTAGAAACGATATTATCATTGAAGCTTAACAGAAATATAAAGCTTAACAGAAGTATGCTAAGTATGATAAAACTACTTAGGAAAGTATGAAAGTAGGAAAGTATATTATCATTGAAAAGATATTTACATATATTATCATTGCTAAGTAGGAAAGTATGATAAAGCTTAACAGAAGTATGATAAAGCTTATCATTGCCATTAGTAAGTTCCGCTGCCATTAGTAAGTTCCGCTGCCATTACAAAAATGCACTCACCGTCTTCCCAGAAGTGCAAAGGACTTTGATTTGTTCTCCATTAATCTCCAAGACTTCGCCATCTATCCAAGCTACATCAGAATCCTCCAACCAAACATGGGCCCCAACTATAAGAAAGTGCATATCTACATTATGAAGTTATGATCAGTAATGTCAATCTAACATGATCAGATTTCAAAACCAGTCTAATAGATTTGAATAACCAATTGAAAACAGAAGATTCATAAGACAGATAAAATTATTCACAAAATTCAAAGTGAAATACCTGCATATCAATATAAACTATTGTTAAAATGAAAATCACTATAAGAAGTAAATACCATATTGAAAACAGAACATTCAAAAGCAACATACAAGACTTGAAATTGACTAAACAACTACTAGATTTGGATTTGTAAGTACCAAAATTAGGGAATACCCTTCACAATAAGTAGCCAAAACTGCTAAACATAGTTGAAAATGAATGTGCAGAATTTATTATGACATACATGACATGAAATTTTCACATTCATTTAGAGTCTTCATTATAACATGATGCAGACAAACTTCAAAGAATTATTGTTATTCCCATAAATGCATCATTGTTCAAAACAAAGTAGAGATTCAGAGTCTAAATCAGCTCACAAAGGCTTAGATTATTCAAACCAAAACACATTTTTAAAAAATCAAAATATTTAAACCAATCAAGCACAAGAGAGTTCTTATAGCATCAAAGCACAAACCTCAATTTAAACTCAACTCAATCCTTCTCAACCTTCACTCTCATCAAAGAAAACAGATGTTGTTTTACTTAAATATTCTTTTCACTTAAATAAGCTACTGTTTTAACTTAAAGCTTATCATTGCTTATCATTGCTAAGAAGTATGAAAAGAAGTATGAAAAGATATTCTTTTAACAGAAGTATGAAAAGAAGTATGAAAAGTTGTTCTTTTAACTTAAAGTTTATCATTGCTAAGAAGTATGAAAATATATTCTTTTCACTTAAATAAGCTACTGTTTTAATAAGCTAATTAAAAGTGGACAAAATATAAATATGTTCAACTCAGTTCCAATTCCTTCTTAATCTGTTTTCACTTAAATAAGCTACTATTTTAAGAAGTATGAAAAGATACCTGGCCTTCCCAAGTGAAACTACAAGTTGGAGCAGATCCTACAAGTTGGCAAAAAGAAGCTTCTTGCTTGCAAACTGAACAATTGCAGCAAATCCTACAAGTTGGAGAATATGTGAGTAAAGTCATACGATAGTGTATTAATGCACATTGCGAAAAAGGAAATAACTCATTTATATCATCAACCTCAGAAAAAGCTAATGCAACCAATCCAGTAGCTGCACCCAATCCATCAGATTCCTGCAATAAACCATTATTAATCAGATTTCTACAGCAGCACGGTGAAATGAAAAACTAAAGCAGATAGATATGTTCATTGAATTACCTAGTCTCCAAAAACTCCAAAAAGTTGTGCATCACAGGGCTCACAGGGCTAAAATTCAAGGGCTCCAAAAAGTGAAACTCCAACGTAACCAAAACTACATACCCTTCATATCCAAAAGTTGTGCATCATAAGTTATGCATATATATATATTCTTCGATTCAGTAGTTATATATATATATATATATATATATATATATATATATATATATATATATATATATATATATATATATATATATATATATATATATATATATATATATATATATATATATATATATATATATATATATATATATATATATA